TATATAAGTATATATATATAAACAATGAGAGGGAGCAGGATCACATAGAAGACGCCAATGATGCATCTGGAACAACGAATGAGCGTGAAGCAGACATTTATAAAAAAGATGAAAAGGAAAATATTTTGAACATGCACCTCGATTTTACGGCCCTCTACCACGGTGCCGTGTAATTTCTCCCTCGCCCTGTCCGCATCGGCACTATTTTCGAAAGTTACGAAACCAAATCCCTGCATGCAGGAGGGAGAAGGGAAAACAACATGCAGATTATTATTTCAGTCAACGACCACTTGGTAATGTTCTCTCGCTTTAATTTCTATTTCTTGTCCTGGCTTCAGTTCTGTAACATGCAAATTAGAGAAATTATAAGAGTACTGAGATGTGCAATAATTAAGCGACAAATGTGAACAAGATATTTTTTTTCTGTCACCAGTTAGCTGTAACCCCTGAAGAATTCAAAAAAAAAAAAAGAATACCAAAAATACCTTTCTAAATGTCACTACAGAAGAAAATAAATCTAACGAAAAGAAAATGAGATCAAAATAAATTTACAGTGTCTTCACAGAGAATAAAATGAAATAACGAGGAAAAAAAAAAGGAACCACTTTCTTGACATGCAAATTAAAAATAAAGTAAAATAAAACGTGTGCACAAAATTCAACAATGAATGCCAAAATCCTCTAACATTGCCTACAGAGTCATGCCGTGTGGTTTTAAGAACATCTCTTCTTCATGCAGTTTTAGGGTTATTCAAATTTGTCAATTCTACAGCCTTTACTTCTCAAAAATAAAAGTTAAAAGCCTAAAAAAAGGAAAGACCTTTTTTTTTTAAATAATAAATCTTAAACTCTTTGGTCTAATCAACAAAAAAAATCACATGAAATGAATAGAAATAAACTTCAGTTGATTCACAATACAAACAATTCGAGTAATGTTTTTATATTAATACTTTCCCCACCCCCCCAAACGTACATGCTTTTGAATTTGACAACTTTTCACACTACTTTGTTCACCAAAAAGGGAAATATGTACACATATTGTAAAGTTCTAAGACATTCTATTGGTATTCATTTGTCACCTCGACAGATAGCAAAATAAAGAAGCTTCATTAATAGAATGCAATGGATAATAGCACTCTAAGCACTTCCTCTTTTACTGGTGGATAACAAATAGATCCTTTACTTCACCACAGGTACAGTTTGCATTTAATATTTCAGCCTCAAAAAACAACCCCACTAAACTTCATATTGTCAAATTCCATCTTTTGTCTTCACTGACACTGTTCCTAAGAAAAGTACAGAAAATATGGCACATTATTTTTAAAACCCCTAAAAATATTTGTACATCGTGTTCAGAAATATACACCAACCTTTTGAACAATTCCAGTGTAAATTTGCCTAGCTCTTTCTGGTTTTCAAAGTATAAACTAGGTGAAAGAATGCAATATATGGGGACTCCTACTTGCACTGAATAAACCTTACATAAAAGTAGATGTTGGCTCTAATCTTAGTGGAGGCAGTATATTTAGTTTTACTAATAAGATGTACAGCAATTACAAATGCATGGCAGTCGTAATCAAGCGGTGTTAACTCCCAATTCCACATTAGATCTCTGTAGTGACCTCAAAATCTAAGGCTGGGGACAGATGCGTTGTCTAATGGGCTAAGAGAGAACTTTCTGACGATCAAGACGGGTCCCCTATTGAGGACAGGAGCCATGGATGTGGATTCAAGGGAGGGCAGATGATCTGTCAGGATGCTATATGCAGCCGTCCCTCCGTATACGCAGTAGATCAGTTCCAGGATCCCCTGCTTGTACCAAAATCCACCCAAAATCCACCTGTACTCAAGTCCCACAGTCACCCCTGTGGGACCTGAATATACGAAAACTCGGCCCTCCGCTTATGTGGGTTTTGCATCAATACAGACATTGCATTTTCCATCCTCATTTGATTGAAAAATATCTGGGTGTAAGTGGAACCACGCAGTTCAAACCCGTGTTGTTCAAGGGCCAGCTGTACGGGGAATATTAAGTTTCTATACTTTGGGGGATTGGACTGAATCACCTTTCAGAGTCTCTCCTGCAGTGAGGACCTGTGATTAGAATAAGCCTGAATTACTTGATCCATGTAAGATTATATGCCTCCTAACAGAAGGGTCCTGCTTAGTCTTGCGCATACCACATACCATACACCCATGTTGGGTACTCAGATATACCTCCTAACTTAAGAGTTTGGAAATAATAGTTCTTCAAAGGGGGAGGGGGAACACAGACTTGGCGGGTTTTGCTCTATTTGATGACTCTAACTCTGGGCCAGTAGGTCCCAAAAACTTATCTACACACCAGAAGGAACTGGGGAGTATATGAAAGGTTTAGATTCCTGGGCCTCTTTTTGTATCTATTGGGTCAGAATCCTGAAATGGAGTCCAGAAATCTGCCTAAAAAGCTGCCTGGGTGGCTGAGCAGTTAGATTTCCATCACCTCTCATACCACTACGTACCATCAAAAGGAGGTTTAGAATTGTTTTTTTCATGTGAAGTAGAATTTTATATTGCTGGTTTCTACAGTTTTCTTGAGGGGGGATCTGACTCAGTGTTTTGGAGCTTAGATGGAGGAGTACAGCCAAAATCCCACGTCTGAGGTTTCTTAGCAACATTCTCTTTCCCCTCTATAGGGTTAACTCCCTAGCAGCCACAGCCATGCCATACACTCAAAAAGAAACAAGGGAAACTAGATTTGGATCTGTCTTCTGTCACTAGGCAAGAAAAGAGAATCTGGAGCCCCAGTCTTACTGCGGGGCTGGGGGCATCGTTTCTGCCCATGGGGAGGAACCCTCATTATTACCACAGCACAGGGAAGAACACAGCCAGGTGAGACTGGACACTCAACCCACCTGTCCAACACTATACTAGAGAATCTCCCCCTGGTGCGTCACATCCGAACTCAAGGCAAACTTGCCGGCCTGAAGTCAGCCTTGGGGATGTCAAGGAGAGATGAAGGCAGAGATGGAAATACACTTGGAATTCCACAGAAAGAGAATAAACTGAAAAGGAAATTACCCTAATCTATTCCTAAGTTCTCATTTTGTTTGTAAGCAAAGAGAATGTATTGATTCTTTTTATTATTCATTTTATTGTCATTTTCTTCCTTTCTTTCCTTTTATTCCTTCCTTTCCTTCCCTCCCTCCCTCTCTCTTTCTTTCTTCCAGCTGCTCCCTACTCTCCATGTCAAGCTGCTGAGATGACTTAATTGCGATGTGTCAAAGTTGGATTTAGAAAGAGCTTGCTTCAGAAATAGCCCTCAAAATACCAGACTTTCCTACCTGTTCTACTGAACAGTTCTACCTCCCACCCGACAAGAAGTGATACAGATTCCCAGTGTCATCGGGTCATCAGAATTCTCATATAGGGAGCCACACTGTCACCAGAGAGACACTCTCCTGTGCCTCTCTATGAAGCACAGGTACTGGACAACTCTGAAAGCAGGTGCTGAGATTGCTTCTTCGGACCTACCTCATAGTCAGAATTCTAACTCAAGAAAGCCGCAACTAGCACTTCTTAAAAGGATTATGAATATTTTTACCTTGGCCTTAAAAAGGAGAACAAAACAAGCATATTCTGGACTTGGCTTGAAGAGCACAGGACCTGAGTGTGATGCAGATGGGTGACCCTTTAAAAACCTAGACTGCAAGAGGGGCTATAGAGAGGGGAGTCAGAGACACGCCTTCCCAGGGTCTACCTTCGATACTACCAAAGAAATAAAATCTATGGCCTACGATGGGGGTACGATCACTAGGCTAGATCACGGTTACCCTAAGAGTCCTGCCAGACCAGCCTCAATGCTTACTTTAGAATCTTTGCATGAACTCATAAATTCTGGCCCTCCTCCATCCTACTTATTGTTCTCTTTTGGTCGTTGGTATTTTTTAGATGATATCTTCCATTTTTTGCATTCATGAAAATATATCATTTTATATCTTCTTTTGTTAAATTTTTTAATCATTGAGGGTACACAATAATTATATGTCTTTACAGGGCACATGTGATCTTTTGATACAGGCAAACAACGTGAATTAATCAAATCAGGGTAATTGGGGTATCCACCACTCAGGCATTTAACATTTCCGTGTGTTAGGAACATTCCAATTCCACTCTCTTAGTAATTTTTAAAGTGTACCCTGTATTTTAAATAAAGGCTTACATAGGCTTAAATAAAGCACGCTGGATGGATGAATGCACCGATTTTCTCATTTTATATGAAAACTCAAATCCTCTAGTTCCTGGTGCAGAGAACTCATATTTATAAGAGAGGGGCGGTTGACAAGAGTGTGGAGATTCATTTTCCTGTGGGACTAAGAACCTCACGTCTCACTTCTTTGCGGCGACCTTTGCGCGTGCAGCCTCCTCTCTCCGGAAGACGTCCCTCGCTGCCCTCCCAGAGAAATTCTTACTCATCTTTCACTCTCAGTTTAAAGGATCCTTCAGTCCAGAAACCTATCCACCTTCTAACGGTATCGGTCCACTTGCTTGGACTCCTGATAGCCTCTCACGCAGAATACAGCACACTTTATGGGACCTGCCCATCCTAGCGGTCTGTCTCTCTCGCTGCTCCTGAGAACTTAGGAGGACAGGAGTCACTTCTGTCTCTCTCATGGTTGGTTCACCTGAGACGTAATAAATACTTGTAGATATCTATTGAATCAAAGATCAAACTATGTAGCTATTTCTTAGGTATATTAGACAGTAGCTATATCTGCCTGTAGCACCCAAATAAATCATTTCAGAGGTAAAAAAAAAAAAAAAAAAAAATGGTTTGAAATCTCCTAAACGGAAAAATGAATTACAGGATCGCTTGCCCCTAAATTCTTTCTAATTTTCATTTTCAAAGTCTGGTATATCTTTCTAAAATGTGGTTTTCCTGTATACTCACTATCCATATAAACATGAAATACTTACGTTATACGTTTCCAGAATAATATAGATACCACCTATGTATGTATAGGCGTATACGCATACATGCATGCACACGCAAACTCTGCCGGCACTGAGTGACCGCCTCAGGGACTGTGCCGTAGAAAATGAGTACACAGAAGGTGAGTTCCTTGCTCTTGGGGGCCCACCCGTTTCCTGGCTGTCTCTGTCTTCAGGACCAAATGATGGAAAAGAGCTCATCACAACAATTCAGGTTTCTCAACCATTATAATGGAAATGCTCCTCTAAATAAGGCCCTTTTCCACCCAGGATAACGTCAAGTATGAAAAACATCCCTGTGTGAGCCTCTGCCCCCATTTAGCAGATCCCAACTGGACTGTCTCGGTGACATTCCAGCACTACCTAAACAGTTCGCTCCAACACCTGCAAGACAAGTTCTCTCACAGGGAGCAGGCCCACCGAGAGAAGCTATTTTGGACGTTTCCTAAACTAAAAGGATAAAGAAAAGAGAAAAAAAAATCAGAGTCTGGATGCAGCAAACTTAAATGGTCTTTTTCCCTGAAGCCCCCAGAGACAGGATAATCATGGGAATGACGGAAGAAGCCTTAAAAATAGCACTGCCATTGTACTTTCAAAATAGCAAATGATATTCTTCTAATGTCCCAAAACAGCTCCTGAAAGGAATCAAATAGCTTTCTTCAACCTGCAAAAATTACAAAACAAAATATAAATTTATAAAAACAAAAAAAATCTTGAAAGGCAGTGCTGCTGTAGATGGATTCGGGGTTAGAACAAAGTTGGCCAACATTCGGGTCAACTTCTACAATTTTGCCAAGAATACATCAAGGCCTGAGCAAACAGGATTAGGTTGGGCACACTTTTCTCTTAACACACTTTGCTTTGCAGGTATAGAAATAGTCCCTGTAATGATTTTTATGTAAGAAGCAGAAAGAGAGTTACCTTCAAGAATGACTATAAAATATCTGAAGTCATGGAAGAATGACAAGCTGCCTGAACGAGCAGAACCACAGACTATAACGGATTGATTTTTTTTTTTTTTTTAAACTTATCTGGCAGATCGCACCATCATTTTGGCTATGGAGGAGAGATGACGGGAATGCTGTTCCCTCAGTTCCATCAACATCGTCCTATTCAGTTAGCACTAAATCTACTTAGGAGGAGGAGGGTGCAGACTGTCCAAGGAAAAATAAATTCAAATGTCTGCTTCGTGGGGAGGAGGTAGTTACAGACCCAAGAGCTCTAGCACTGTGGCCTGTGACACTCTAGACAGAACAAGTTCTGCTCAGTAACCCTCCCTGCCTGTGTCAGGAAAGTTATGGGGCCAAAGCCAGTATCTCTCTGTCCCCGATGAGCAATTTCTCTCAACATCCACTTCCACAGTCAGAGGATGCAAGGAGAAGGGAACTTAAAATTCCTGACAACCTGGGGGCGTGGCCATCAGAAAACAAGGCAGAGCTATTAGAAGTGTTCACTGTCTGGTCGCTAAGGTCAGCATCCCTATTCTTTTCCAACATCACTGTCTGTTATCACTCAGTGTCTGCTAAGATGCCTAATGTGTCATTTTCCTCAAGGGAGATTTTGACGGGGCCTTAGAGTTTTCCGTGGATGCAGTAGAATGAGGTCACTTTAACGGCAGGAGCAGCAATGAGAGCAAAACACTAGTGGGCAAAGGGGTATTTTGCACTGAAGTGAAGCCTTGGCATTAATCTAAAACAGAAAGACACAGTGTTTATAACGTTAAGGACAGGCCTAGAAGGTCGGCTAAATCACAGGTCCCTGAGCCCCAGTTTCAGAGTTTTTGGTTCAATAGATTTGGGTTGAAGCCTGACAATTTGCATTTGTAATAAGTTCCTGGGTGATGCTGATGTTCGTGATCTGGGACCACACTGGGATAATCTAACCACTGACTGACAGGATGCTTTGGGAGAGTTTGTTTTTTCTTCTCCCCACGTATTTCTATTTTGAAAGTGCCTGAACCTCTCCATACATCCCCTGACTTCTATTCGTGCTAGGAAACTCTATTTAAAAATTAATTTCCTCAAACAAACAAACTCAAAGCAATGGCAAATTGCAACAGATAGATTGGTAAAACCATACTAATGAATAAAGTTATATTCAAAAGGTTGGTGTATATGCACTTTTCTCCCCTACAACCCAGGAAAATAACTGCACTTTATTAATACAGAATAATCACATATTTACCTGCGCATGAGACACTATCAACTCACTTTTTAATATAAAGAACATAATTATCACTGAAAAACAAAAATGTAGCAACATCATTATTTTTTTAAGCATGGATAATTTTCCTCTGGAAACTTGACAAAAAAAAATATATATAAAAGTTTTTAAAATTATATCCCCTTATACGTTTTAAACTGAACCCAATATATTTCCCGCCATTTTGAAAATGGGAGGTGGTCTATAGAGAAATTCCCACTGAAGTGTATTTTCACCATGTGCTGGTTAAAACAGTGCAGTTGTTTCCCCTTATTCGTAACAAACGTTTAAAAATAAGCTAAACAATTCTAAAGTGAATTAAGTTGCTTACCTTTGAGCCTCGCTCATTAAAAATAATTTCAACATCTAAGATTTTACCAAATTGCTGCAAAGAAATAGAAATATTTTATAAGCAAGAATAGAAATGGAACAGATCATATTATGCACACTGGTAATTGTTTCCCAAGTCTGAATTATTTTTTCTTCCTCTTTTCATCTCCAAGGATATACTTTTTACGTTGTTTTATCATTAAGTAATGTGCTTGAAAAGAGAAAATACAACCCTACGTATTTATCATGTTCTTTAGGTGACATGTCCTGTAAAAGGCTGGATACAAAATATTAATCAAGAGGTTAATTCTATTTTTTTTATATGTGTGTGATTGTTTTCCCAGGCACTAAGCAGCTATTTAAAAACAACTAATATACAATATACGCAATGATCTTCCTGAGCTATTGCACTAGCCACTGGGACAAATGCCCTTGATGAGGTGGGTTTTGATAACAAAATGTCCAACTAGAATATGGCGTTGAAGGTTTTGGCCCGTAGCTCACATAAACACTAGGAGCAGCCAGACCCTATGGGACAAGTAAAGACCACACATAAAAGCAAGCTCCACTCCCAGGCACCCATTGTAATACATTGCATAGCCAAAAGAAATACAGACATCCAGTTAAATTTAAACTTTTCTGGGTAAGTATATCCCGTGCAATATTGGGGACATACTTAATAAAATGCTTCTCATTTATCTGAACTGCAAATTCAACTATTGTGTCTTATATATTTTTTTAAATTGTTGAATCTGGCAGTCCTAGTGAGAAATACACATCAGAGAATTCTTGATTCACTTTAAAAAAAAAAAAAAAAAAAAAAGAGAAAGAATGTGGGCTCTGAAACTATAAGTATCTGATAACCCAAAATACTTTTCCCCTGATTTTGGAATCCTTTCGGTTTTCTTAGATCACGTGAAGTAGCCTGGGCATTTCTGGAGTATGGTTCACACTGCGTAAGTGCAGGGGGGAGGGAGTGAAGAGAAATCATGTGGCTTAGGGTAGAATAAAATGGGAATTTTGCTTCAATGTGGAATGAGAGCAAATGCCTGTTTTAGTGACTGAAAATCAAGCAGAACTCAAAGAAATACTTCCATCCTCTTTTTTGTTTTGAGCTTTCCTATCATTCCATTTGCTTTTGCATCTTGGATCTTATTTGCATCTGTTATGACCCTAGGAGATTCTGTGTTCTGTGTCTCTCCCCAGGGTGGAAATTATCAAGCATGCCTTTCTGTGGCAGAGGGCAGCATGACTGTGGTGAGAGGTGGGGCTGTAATAAAAAGGGGACACACAATTAGAATGCAGAGAAGTGGGTGCGGCTCCCTGTCCAAAGTGCTTCAGTAGTGGACCATCGAGAGACCCGAGAGTGAACGTCAACAGGGTCCTGCTGACATTTAAGAAAAAATCATTTGGAACATACCGAGGCTATCCTATGAGACGTACAAAGACATCTACCTTCCTTGGAAATAAAGAAAAAAATACATATAGGTCAGTTGAATACAAACAGCCCAAAACCTTTCAATGAAATAGTTCTGACCATGGGATAAAGGGACCCAAAGCTTGCCATTCTGTGCCACAGAGATGTGCCCATTCCCCAGGACACATACCCTGCCCAGCCAGGGGATCACAGACTTGCTGAGCAGACATACTAGTACTTCTTTATTTTGTAGAGAAATGGAAAGAGAGGAGGAAACCAAGAAGAGAAGGTTCAATTAGAGGGAGAGGTGGAAGGAACTCATTGCTAGCACGTGCAGTGGAAATACCAAGACACGTGCAGCCAACTTACCCTGCGATTTGTGGACACTCAAATATTCTTTTGGTCAAGAGACTATTCTTTCACAGAGCATTTTCAGTGCCCTAGTTCGTGGCAGAGAAAAAAGAATTGAAAACTAAAAAGAAAACTTTCAGATTTGGGAAATGAAGGATTTGCTGTTCAAAAGTGAACTGAATTTCATAGTAAGGCAACCTCCAGTTGTGTGAACTCCTCAGAAACAGTCATTCTGATACGACCACCTTAGAAGATTCAGACCACAGAGACACTGTCCTATTTATATCAGGCAGAAGAGCCTAAAAGCGCATACATTTACAGAGAAAGAGAAGCTTGAAAAGAACTTCTTCCATAACCACAATGCAAATGTCATCTATGGAACATTCTCTAAGCAGTCAACACAGAAACACTTCCTTTAAAATAAGCTCTGGATGAGACAGAACCAATCAAAAAGCAATGTGAGCATGTGTCATTCCCTAAATGAAACAATGACACCATATGCCCCGAAATGGTCTCAAAGTTTGCCTCCTTGGCAGTTGCCATTAGGTTGATCGTTCTCAAAGCCAGGGAAACGAGCCCTAAGAAGAATGCTGATGTCAGCTCCATTTCTAAGACAGTTGTGTCCTATATTTATAGTATCAACAGTTTAATTGGGAAGTTTGGTACTAATGATGTAAACACAGCTGGCACATTTTCAATTTAAATAGACACGACTCATCCGCAGACATAACTAGCATTTGTTTGCGCAACAGAAATGCTCAGCAGCATTCAACAACGCCTCGAATGCACACAAGGTGTCTCGATAGCTGTATCAGGAACGGAATCCAGAAGCTTACGGGCACGCACTTGGGCAAATATGTACCCAGCGTTTTGAGACATTCTCAGATCAAATAATATCGCGCTGAAAAACCGTGAAGGATGTTCAATGGACACAGCATAAAACATGAAAGTAAAGGTTAGTTCAAAGAGTGTATGTAGAGACTGAGAAAAGGCATCATCCCAGTTTTTCTTCGTGTTGGCTTCATGTTTGGAATGAAGAAGTAAGAGGCACTGTGCCGCATCCCCCAAAACTGGCTTCACTGCTTATAACAGCATGGTAGAATGAACTTTGCGATACCACTGAAGGTACAGGCAAGCCGATCTCTACTTTGTTACTGAAGAATGATCATGAAAGCTTCTTTCGCATGTGCTGAAAGTCATGCGATCTGTTGTTTTTTTTTTTTTTTGACAATAAAAAGAGGCTCAAATAGAGCATTTGCCTGCCCAGAGGGTCTGTATTTGGATAATAAAAGCAAGCCTGCTATTTTGTGCAAATTTCTGACTTGTAGTCATTCAGCAACTGTTTCTAAAAACAATTCTATGATGGCGTGTGTTGTATCAGCAGTCTAGATGTATTCTAACCTACTTCGCTCACCCCAAACCCAGAAATGCTTCAATATTGAGTTAAATTAAACATGCTATTGAAGGGCAACACATTGCAATTAATTTGGTGGGAATGCACATATTCCTTTCTTGGGATCATCAAGAATTCAAAGGAAAAGGAAATGCATGCTCACGCCTACGAGGAAGAGCTCAAGGAGAAAGTACAGCCAGGGCCAGAACTAACATCCCTTCCAGTGAGACGTCCAGTATCGAGGCCACTGATAATATAATAGATCTATTCACTCGCACCCCAATGGGTTTTAAAAAGTCTCTGGCTTCTACTTTGTAGTTATAGCCACATAACCTCTTGCCCATGGAATGTTCCACATTACGACAAGAAAACAAAAGAAAGGGAAAGAAAAAGAAAGAAAGATATCTAAGATGAACTACAAGATTTAATGTGAAACATCGGAATAAATGCTTCCAAAGAGAAGAAAATGAAGAATATGAAGCACGTGGTGGAAGAAAGGTCACCAGGTTTCCAGTCCCAACCAAGAGGTGCTGAAGCCACAAATTAAAAATCAGATGTGAGACACCTGCAGTAAACATCAGGCATGCGGCCGTGTGCAAACGTCACGGTCGAATTATTAGCGGTTACAGAACTTGTTATGAACACTGCCAAGTTTTGCGAAGTTTGAAAAAGGAGGTTGCTTTTTTTGTCTTTTTTTGCTTTTGACTTTGAAATCCCATGCCCATATTTAACAGTAGAGACGACGGGAAAAAAAGCACAAAGATCTTTGAAAGTGTTTCTCTCTGTAATCGTCCTCATGGTAACCCCTGCCAACGTGAGGAGACAAAGGCAGAATACAGCACTAAAAGGAGAGAAGATGTCTCATGTCCAAATGATTTGAGAAATATCTAATTGGAATTAAAATGGAGTTTCTTACAGTAACTATGACCTGAAAGAGGAAACCACGTGAAATTCCCTAATCTCCAGTGTTGGGGAGCCACTGAGCACATTTACAGATGCCTTACAATGTGATTCATGCTGCTGGATGTATCACATAACAAGAATGCCTTTGCAGCCGCCAATAGCTGGCCAGGAAGGACAGATTTTTAGTGTTTAAATTCCATTTCTTTAGAATGGTGGTTGTAAACCAAGAAGACCTGCGAGTCACTACGAGGGGTCTGGGAATCCATATATGCCTGATAATTTTTATAGACAAAACTCACAGAAAAAAAAATCTAGGAGACTTTTAAAAATGGACACAGATGCTATCTGTGATGAACAAAATCAATTTTCGTGCTACTGAAGGTATGCTGTGGTCTCTTAATTGATAGGTATTAAGTGTAGGTGTCAGCTTGTCAACATCTTCTTGTCAGTTGCTTGAAAATCTTGACTTTGTACCAAAAAAAAAAAGTGCTCTGAAACCAGTAGATTTTGAACAAAGTTTGATATCGGATAGTACAATCTTACGGCAAGATCTTGCTCCATGCCATCTGCCCCTGACTCTAAAAAGAACAGATAGGTTCAGCTATTAATGCAAGCAGGATCCCTTCCCAGTGATACCTAGCTGTGAATATTTTTGCATCTCTCTCTGACTTAGCCTTGCAGCCTGTGGTGACTTTCAAGATAACCAAGAAGACCAAGAGGGGAAGAACACCTCAGGGGTGGGAGCTGGAGTGAGCTGCAGTGAGCGACACCATGAAACAGTGCCCTAGATGGTCGTTAAGGGAACCAAATTCAAAGCCAACATCAGAGTGGCTCTTGATGAGAAAAGGTAGACTGAACAGCCAGACATCTTCCTAACCTGACACGGCAAAGAGAAAACGACTCCTTTGGCTGCCCATCATTCAAACCTGGTCTTACTGCTTCACACACACTTAACCTCGACTCTCACTTTGAATGCTCTGCACTTTTCAAAGTCATCTTTGACCTGAAAGTGCCCGAGGGTATCTCTGTTCTGCAAGAGTTGGAGGGCTCAACTCAAGGTTATTACTAAATGAGAGAGATAAAAGTGCAAAAGTTGACCTTTTCCTCTGAAATGTCAGGATTCAAGTGTGGGTATCTTTTAAATAGTAGGATGCTCGTTCTGCCTTTGTGTCAGATGCATACTTGATAAGCATCAGGTGAATAAAAGAAATAAAAGGTGCAAGCTAATCCCCAAATCACAGAGCCCTTGAGTAATGAACCAGAGCTCCCCTTTTAATGTGGAGAATGATATCAACTGTGCTCAAAACGAGACATTCAACTTGGGCATCTTCCGATGCCTTTTCAAATATTTGTATCTCTCCACAAACTCTTCAAAGAAGAGTCTCCAAGCTGCCCACCTTTGCTCTAAGTCGAATGTCAAGGATGTAGCTCTTTCCACTGAATCCACAGACACTTGCTGTCATTGCCAGGATGTCATGCACAACGGACTGAATATGATTGCAAAAATGAATGATATCCAAACCCAGTCAAAGCTTTGCCCTCGGGTGGAACTGAGCCCAAGATAATGGTAAACTCGTCCCTTCCCAGAGTGGACAGTGAACATATCTTCTGGAAAAAGAATCAGGATCATGGTGACCAATAAAGAAGCAAAGCTGTCATTCATTTTCCCTGGGTCGGTGGTGGCTTCTGGTCTGCTCCGTGTTTTAGCACAGTGCCTGGGCAGGGCTGTCCTTTGTGGACATAATAATATATATAACTGATATATGATCACAGTAAGTATCTGTGAATCCTTGTCACTGATTCCGGGAGAACATATACTGCAGGAATCGAGTCAGACTTAGAAATCAGATTTTTGTTGTTGTCGTTATTTTGCTTTGTTTTTCTTAAACTAAGCTTTATGCAGAACTAGTTACTCTCTACAGCTGCATCTGAAATCCTAATGCGCAGTGCCTGGGATAGAGGAGGGAATGCAGGAACGTGGCATGAATCACTCTTCCGGGTAATGTGATAGCTGCAACAGAGACCAGAACCGAGAGGGCTCGTGATGTATATGTGAGCTACGATATAGGGTCCCGGGCCACTGGATTTGGGATCATTCATGGGCTTGTTCCAACAGTGGGTGATCTAGAAGTTTCATTTCCATGTGACATTGAAGTTACTCATTAGAGGAAGACCACTGGGCAAAGGGGAAACACGGTGAGCATCTGCAAAGAAGTTTATGCTAAAACCATACTTTCTAGCCACGATGTACCCACAGACTGCCTCCCCGCCTCATGTAAACAGCTCACCTTAGTACTGTCAACACCAAAAACTTACATGAGAAGGGAGGGCTCTGGGGACCCAGACTGGGCACTCCCGAGAAGAAAGGCGGTACTTACGCCAAACATTTGTCGGAGGTCCGGATCCCGGAACCTGAAAGGGATGTTGGAGACATGCAGCCGCTTGGGCTGGGACTTGTTTTCCGTGTTTTCTGAAGGCTGCGTCTGGGGCTGTCCATCTGTCGGTGCTGCGTCATCTGTCTGCTAAAAGAACAAGAGGAAAGCAAAGAGGCTCTCAGTGGACCCAAATGCTCTGTTCCAATGTGCTTTTGCTTCCCCTAAATGGCAGGAAAACGCCAAAAGGATAAGGGGCGGGAAGGAACTGCTGAGTCATTCATTCATTCATTCATTCATTCATTCCAGTGTCCATCATGGATCTGGGCTTCAGCAGTGACCAAAACAGATAAAAACCCCCACCCTCATGGAACATAAGTCTCATGGGGAGAAGACAGACAATAAAACAAATTAATAAAAATATAGAGTTGGAAGAAGCAGCAAAACACTATAGAGAAACAGAAAACAAGGTGAGGGGATTGGGAGGTGCTGGGGTGGGGCATGGAGAGTGAAAACCTCACAAAGAAGGGGACATAATCACTAAAGGTAGGAGAGTATAGATTCCTTCATAGATGCAGTTCAGAATCTTAGGGTATGCCTACGTAATTGCTCAGGCTGTACACATAAAATATGAATAAATGTAGTAAAACAATTTTGAAAGGCTGTTTGGCAGTCTGCAGTCCAAGTGACCAGGTGACCAACTTATTCTTTTTTATATATATATTTTTTTGAGACAGAGTCTCACTCTATTGCCCAGGCTAGAGTGCCATGGTGTCAGCCTAGCTCACAGCAACCTCAAACTCCTGGGCTCAAGCGATCCTCCTGCCTCAGCCTCCCGAGTAGCTGGGACTACAGGCATGCGCCACCATGCCCGGCTAATTTTTTCTATATATTTTTAGTTGTCCAGATCATTTCTTTCTATTTTTAGTAGAGACGGGGTCTCACTCTTGCTCAGGCTGGTCTCGAACTCCTGAGCTCAAGTGATGCTCCCACCTCAGCCTCCCAGAGTGCTAGGATTACAGGTGTGAGCCACCGCGCCTGGCCTGCTTTCACTTTTTTAATTGTACAAACCTGTGCTGTCCACTGCAGTTGACCACATGTGGCTATTTAAATGTAAGTGAATTAAAATGAAATAAAATATAAACATTTGTTTGCATTAGCTGCATTTCAAGTGCTCAAGAGCCGTGTACTTCCGTGTTGGACGATGCAGATATAGAACATTTTCATCTCCGCAGAAAGTTCTGTTGTACTATGTTGGTATAGACATCACGTTATTGGCATTGCTCCACTGCCTCCCCCCACCAAATAAGCCTGGATGACATGACATTATGCTGGTGTCCATATACAGGCAGGAACTAGGAGAAGAGTCACAGTAACATCTTGTGTCATCCCAGCCATTATCTCAGTTCTAGAGTTTTAACATTTCAGACACTTCAGATACTTTCTTTGCAATTAGCATGTACTCCCTCTAGGTGGCAGTAGAAGCCATCAACATCAGGTACCTGCTTCTTTGAAACTAGGACAGATAGCTGATGTGTAAACCCATCAAATTTATGAGCAAGGAATCATCCTCACCTATTTATAAGCAATTTAGAAGCATACAACTGGGACAAGACTATCAATGTAGTCAGCCAGGTATAAAATAATAATGACTTAGAGAAGACAATCTTACAAAGTGAAAAATAAAAGAAACACCTAAATAACATGGGCATAATTAGCAATTTTCTCATCAACCATGGAATCTGCTGGACGATTTCACTTGCATCCTCCTTCACGACACAACTTAAATTGCATTTTGAAGTCAAGACCTCCCAGTGGCGGGCACACCATTCTTCCAAGCTGATTTGAATCAAAAGTCCCCCCACCCCTGATGATTTCTTCAGCTTTCCAGGGCAGTGTCATGATGACAACACAACGATGTACTTACTTATTTTGCATATACTGTTGGAATGAATAGGAAGGAGGATGGCGATAATTTCTTAGCTGGAACATTAGAAATAGTAAGAGTTCACACCTTATAAGGCTTTGTAAAGACAGAACACAATCACATGTGCCAACATGACAGAGTCCTTGGCCCATGGTATAAATTCAATAAATGGAAAGTAATGGATTTTTTTTTAGAGTGGTGGCGATTTTTAAAAAATGTCCAAAGAGAGGAGTAAACCTCTCTTTGGAAACATAAAGGAAAGACTCTCATTTGCCTATTAAACACATCTTTACTGAGCAACTACTATGTGCTAGACACATAAGTCAGTCCTGCCCATTGTATGCAGTTTCCAGCTTGCTGAAAGTCTGAGAGGCAGAGAAAGACAATTATTATACAGACGGTTAAATGCTGGAATGAGAATGAATCACCAAGTGTTGAGTAACCTTAAATCAGGGGCTCACAGCTCAGCTGGAGGTTGAGCAGGGCTTGCCATTTATGGAGGTTAAGTTTTAAGTGAGAGACGTCTAAGAGGAGAGATAAAAGGGACTGACGCTGTATCGAGAGAGAGCAAAACCTGCGCAAAGGTGCAGAGATGTGAAATAATGCTCTGGGTTCAGGGAAGTGCATGTGGACTTCAGAGGGGGTATGTGTGAAGGAAGGGCAGGGACAGCTACAGAGGTAGGCAGAGGGCGGGATCAAAGGGCCCTGTCTGCCAGAGTCTGAACTTCATCCTAAAAGCTATAAGGAACCACTTAAGGATCATAGCAAGGTGTGATGTGACCAGCTTGCGACACAAATGATAAATGCCTATTTAACAGCTAGCCGACGCACTGACCAAACAAATGACTTATCAGTGCAATGAATGAATAAGTGAACAATCAACTTTGCTCCCTTCAAGAGATAGTCACAGAGCACTAATTATAACACTGAGGCCCAAACGGAGCAAAAACTGTGTTTTCTCCTCTGGGAATACGAGGTTTGGTTCCATTGTCCATGACAGAAGAATCACGAGATTGTCACTTTTCAGAGGAGTGAGGAGTTTCAGTTCTCTGCCACAAGACTCTAAATTGACAGTAATATCCGCTAAGACTCCCAAGCTTTTAGTCCATTTTTTTCCACCCTGCTAGAAGTTCCCATTTAAATGCAAAATTAAAATGAGCTCCTTCTCATCCCAAGAAAGAGACTTAGATTTGGATTTGTGCACAAGTGCTGGATGTTTCAGTTTAATAAACCTAATTAGGAATTACAGAGATTATGATTAAACATATTAAATGATTAATAGCATTATGCTGCTCATGTGAAAATTAAAATTAATCATCTCTAGTCAAACAGGACTTTGGAGAAATCTTTGCGTTGTTTCCTTTGATAAAAACATACAACGCTCAATTAATCATTTTGTCGTGTATGCGTATATACAAATGCCTATAAATTGTTACGTAGGAATACCTGTGTGTTAGCAATAACGTTTAAAGAAAACATGTAAAATAAAAAAGTAAAACCAAAAATGTTTCGGCTCATCGTGGTGTATGGAAAGGGAAGAGGAGGAGCGTTAGGATACAGAGGTTGAGAAAGAGCGACAGAAAGAAAAGAAAACCTTCCAGTCTTCCAGACTGAGCACGTGTGTTTTTATGGTGTGATACAACACGGAGGACCAGGGTCTTTGAATCACACGGATGCGTGTGTGAGCTCATCTCTGTTATTCGCTCATCACAGGCAGGTCATTTTACCTCTCTGAGCCTCGGGTGACTTGTCCATCAGAGGACAACGACGGCTCCAAGCTCACAGGATTGCAGTGAGGACAAAACGTAGCCGCAGCAGGTGTGTAAAGCATCTCCCACCCAGCCTGCGGCGTGTTGGGGGTTAGACTTGAGAGAGTCATCATCACCCTTCCATGGAGTGTGAGATCTTTCTCCTTCCCTTTCTCTGGAACCTTTCAGGGAAACCATATTTACTACAAGCATGTGTTTCATGTCTCTGTATTAGTTTCTTGAAAAATGACCACAAACTTGGTGGCTTAAAGCAATAGATCCTTATTCTCTTGTAGCTGTGGAGGCTAGAAATCTACATTTCTTTCCCACATTTATCACAGTTGATGGAGGTTAGGACGTGCACATTTCTTTGGGAGGTCACCGTTCAATCCACTATGGTCCCCCACTAAACAAAGCAAAAGTGCATGTCATAGCTGCTATCAAGGAGGAAATGCACTTTCTGTCACTTCGGGTCCAATGAGACTCTCAGGATGATTGGCCTCAAACCAGGTCCGGAAGGGAGAATGTCCCTTGCAGGCTCCCATCTGTCAACGGGGTCACTCTAAGGAGGCCCCTGACAGAGAGGAGACTTGAGTCTTCCCATCGCCAGCCCAGTCTCCCCGACTGCCTTTCTGCACTCGGCCCTGGATGCAGGGACACCCCTCAGCCCACTGGGCAGCCCCTCACCAGCCTCCCGAAAGGTCGTCGGCACTCAGGGACAAGGACCCTGCCGGCACGTTCCCTGTGCTGACCACCGTTCCTCACACAAATCGGTAGGTCACTGACGCATCTCTGAGAGCTTCGTTGAAGCTTATGGCCAAAGCACAGAGTGAAATTTCTAAGGAGAAAAAAAAAAATGTGAAAAGCTAGGAAACTTGGTAATAGAACCGAGCATCTAGAATGTCCATTCCTGAAGAGCTGTGACCACCGGATTTGTAGTTAAATTCCCCCAAACTGAAGCATGTCAAGGCTCAGTGGGAATTAACTGCTGAAAGAACTCTTTGTTTTTTAATTTCAGAATATTACAAGGGTACAAACATTTTGGTTAAATTGCTTTGGTACCATTTGAGTCAAAGTCATAAGCATGCCCATCACCCAGATAGTGTGCACTGTACCCATTAGGTGTGAATTTACCCATCTCCTCCTCCCTTTCCCATCTGGCTGATGTCCAATGAATGTTGATTTATCTCTGTCTGATATTTCTAAAATTTACTTTTGCTTTCAAGTGAGAACCAACTGGATTTGGAAACGCACTTCACGGCCATATTGGGGAGAGGAGAAGGTGGGACATAGAAACCCAGCAGATGAACACTGACCCATTCACTCAGAGACTGGAGGATGTCGAGCACATCTGGAGAGCAAGGATCTTAGAGGTGCACGATCGAGTGGCCAGGACATCCCCCTCTCAGGAGCCTCTAAACCAGACCCTCCTGTGGTCTCTGAGGCTCAGTGTGTCTGGCCTTTGCCATCTCTTC